CGCCTCGGCGATGAAATAGATATCCGCTAGTTCACGAAAACCTATCCTAACCCTTTGCACTCGAGACTGTTTTAATTCCGTAATGAAGACATTTGTTTCAACCTGCAGTATTTCCATTTTGTATGATTATTTTTCTTTAATACATATGAAATTGAACGCGTACACTTATAGAAGAGTTCTATTCTCTGACAATTTATCGAATACAGACAAATTTAATAACATAATAATTCTTTTGAAAATAGTGTAGCAATTTTTAACGTCGCCTCAGAGTCACCACTCATCAACAGCCTCGATGACGGCTGTTATTACAGCTACTATTTTTTACTTATTATTTCGGGTCCGAAAAATTAGTAAGTATTCTTTCTTGTAAAATTATCACTGTCACGTTGTAAAGAAAATTCGAAAAGTTCACGCTTCGTGACTCGTTCATTACTTCGAATGCGGCACGGAGCCTGTGCGTAGCCCCCTCCTTCCGTCGCACCCCGCGGTTGTAGCCCAATTCCGCATACTGGCATAACCATGTTACAGTTCGCGCGATCGCCTCTCATTGATCACTGATTTTCATTAATAACTCGTAAACAATGCCGCAGATTGTATTTTCGCTAAGGAAAAAGATACTTCAAATGACCTCAGGTACCTCCTTTTCCGACTGTTAATATAATTATAGAACACCCTGTATATAAAAGTCTATGGAACGAAACAAAGAAATGTACGTTGCTGTGTGGTTCGGATGAAATTGAAAAACACTCGATGTTTACAAACTTGTAGCGTCACATTCCCGTCGACTGTTCGATTGCGCTCCACGCGCTTATCTATTGTTGGAGATCATACATCGTTGATCTCCAACAATAGATTTTTTACAAACTTGACGTTCGTCATCATCTTTTGCTCCTCTTCTTGCATTACATTTACGTTTGATGGTAGTTTTCCTATCTAATCCAGATTCTGTAATATTTAACGTATCTGGTGTTTCTATTCTTTGAGAGTGATACTTTCTTCGTGACCTCTTTTTTGGACTCTTCAACAAAGTCTATTTTTTATTTTCCCGTTTCTTAAATAAATTATCTTCAAAAACATTTTTAATATGTTTTAAGCTGTAGAAAATCTGAAGATTTTTAGATCTACCAATGCTTCGGCCTTGTCCCTGTGTTAATCAATTACAATGAAATCTTGAGCATGCTTATCAGTTACCGAAACGTATAAAACGTCACCATTAAGCACCTTCCACCAACGATGACAAGTCTTAAAAATCAATTACTTGTGTCACAGTTTCAAATAAATGAGTTTATATAAATAAAAAAGCTACACGAGATATTTCGTTCATAGCATCGTTCCTTCGATATCGTGGAACCGAGGTATTTCATTCAAAGTAGCATAAGAGCTAAGGAGTTGTAGACCAACTGATGCGATTTACGGAGATTTACATTTTATTTCCATACTGTTTTCATATTCTTTGTGTACAGTACACATAATTACTGTTAGACCGCGCGTGTCAGACGATCCCATTGACGCGTTTCTCTTGAAAGGTTAAAGATTAAAGACGCGTTTTACATCGACATTACCCACACTCGCAATCTATGCAACAAGTAATGACATGCGGTAACGGTAAAGAGTCACCGTTTAGAGTCGTTAATGTTTAACTTCTCCAATCACCGCGCCGCGCCGGCGAGTTTTTGATTTTTCGGTGTCTAATCGCAGGCGAGTTTTATTTATTATGCAGATATGTCCTAAGAATTAGTTTTTCGAAAAAAGATATAAAAAGAAAAACAAAAATTTAAGAGAATTTCTTTTTAATCAGGGTTTATGCGATAATAGTGTGGCCTGCTAAATTTTACAAAATTGAAGGGTTAAAGTACAAGCGATAGAACTTGGTAATAATGATATTAATTGTAGGATGATGATCGGGTGAAATAACAGAGTCTTAAATATAATAAAAAAAAGCTAAAAGAAAAATATTTATTTGGAAATTCGCATGTTCTTTTATCAGTTCACAGTTTGACTGCCTCTTCGCACGCATCCACTCCGCAATCGTTCACCTCATTTGTAGCTCGCACGCTTTCTGATGTTCTATAGCCTAAGCTCTCTCGCTTGTAGGATTCTCGTACATACTTCAAATCATACAATATAAATGCATCTTTACGCTGCACACCGTACACGTGGCGTTTTTTTACATTACTGATCAGTGACATAAGTTTCATTTGTCTATTACGTGTAATATAATATAAAATAATGTAATGTAATGTAAAAATATAAAGCTTAGACTCACATGCAACATGGTCGGAAAGAAGAATGTTGAAATTTCCGTAATTTTTAAGCCAATATACAGTGGCTCAAAGTGAAACTCGGACACGTGCATTTTTACACTTCACGAGCTTATTCTTAGCATAAGAAAATAAATTAAATAAAAAGTACAATTATTTTTAATAACATATATTCAGAAGTAGTCTCGAACTGAAACTTGGGCAGTTGGTAATTTTGCAGGAAAAACAAACGAAACGCAGGGAATCATGTTTCATTTTTTCAAACTTCCATTTTATATTGAGTAAGCATAAAGTTAATCATAGAAAGTCGTTAGCTTCTGTGAAGTTACGTTTGTATTCCAAAGAATGAGTAGGCAATAAGGACAAACATCTTTGGAACTTTGAGAACTTGTTGCAAAGCATTTTGAAGACGGTCTGTCGGTACAAAATATCGTGAAAATAGTAAAAAACAAACCAAAACCAAATAAACGGAAAATGTTCATAGAATCCGAAGAGCGTTGGATCGTAAGACAAATTCAAAAAACTCAAAGTTAGCCATTGAAATCCAATGAAATTTAAGGAAAGGAGCAACCTCAGGAACGGTTCGGATTATATTTAGAAAAGGTGAAAAAGGTGCATCCATGAAGTAGACGACAGACAAGTAAAGACTACGATGTACGAAGCGTTTCGATCTCGTAAAAGGTATATCGCGAGTATCGAACTATGTACACAATGGTCTAGACGGGATTAGACGAGGAATAAAACTGCTGGGTAACGATAGGTATGTTAATTTAACGGACACCCGGTTACGTATAGATTGTTCATTTATTGTTTCAAGGCAAGCTGAACGCCTTTGTGCGCCAGTAGGTTGACAAGCCCGAGAATGTGATGTCGTGTGAAGTTAAAGATGATAAAAAACGAATCACTATACAGGGTATGCCATTTAAGTTGAGATTGTAAAAAATCTCGTAGGCACGTTATTTAAAGAGGACAAACTGACGCATATCCTTTAGTGGGGAAACAAATGACTAGTACTATAGTTTTGTAATGCGTGGGCGTTTTTAAGGTTACTTAAAGATTATCTTGTTTTGTTTTGAAACTGTAACGAGTACATATACATCTATATATCAATTACATTCTAATAAAAGTAAAGTCAATCTTATAAAAGGAAATCAAATTTCCACCGCGTTTTTTAATTACTTCTTGGACTAATTTCAGTATCAACTTTATTAGTTTGTCCACTATTTTTTGTTGAATTTAGTTACACGCATGCTTTAGTATGTTCCACATACCTCGAGAACGTATCGTACGAAATGAATTCAGCATACGTTTTCACTGAACAAAATGCAATAAATGGCTAAACTAATTACGTGAGTAACAAACACCATTACCTTAATGTGTATTTCCGACAATACGATGCTATAAAACTTAATAGCAAACATAAAATGTTATCTAAACGGAATAAAAAGTTACAATTTATATTATATCAGCAAGTGTACTAATTCTTTTTGAGGAAGGTGTATGATGTTAAATAAAGCCTACTGAAAATAACTCGATTTTTTACTTAATTTTTTCCCTTATATTACCAATCGCGCTCAATTAGGAATGATGGTGTGGGTGTCCGAGTTCTACTTTGAGTCACTGTACATAGTACATCTTTTAGTTCGATGGATTTGAAAATCATTATCGTAGTATCGTCAACCCCAAATTGTCATGAATAATAGTTATACATTGTATATAGTCTCCGTAACTAGCGCAATTTCGGAAATGCAATTAGTTATGGTAGAGGTTATACATTTTTTGTATTGTTTCGAATTTGTCGAAGGTTGTACGGGAAACATGCGAGCTAAATGTCTTGTGCGAATTCAGCGTTTTAAATTCGAACATCAAAATTCCCGATTTTTTATTTTTTGTCTGCGAATCTTCTTTATTTACACGTCTCGTTTTACGGAATAAACTAACATAATGACTACGATTACAATTACCGGTGCAATAAATTGAAGTCCAAAAGTTTAATCGCTTAAAACGAGACGTATACGATGGCAAATATTTCATAAAAGAGAATAAAAAAGGAAGAAATTAAAAGATTAGTAACGGTGTAATTTTTTGGTTTGCTTGCATTAGGGCGAGTCTCACCGACACTCGGTCCCTCGCTGGCTCGAACGTCGAGCGGATTTAACGCGTTTCTGGTACCCAGGGGATCTTACCTCAGTGGCGGGAATAAAATATTGCTAATTACTGTGGAGGCCTTATTGTTAGAATAATGCTTGGTGATAATACGTTAAAATTAGCTAATAGTTTATAAGAACTAGAAGTTTTGCAGCCTAGCAAATCGTACAAATATAAATTGTATAAATTCGAAGATCGAACCGATGTGCATGCATTATCTAATTCGAATTGTATTTTTGACTCATTCAGTTCGATTTGAATCTTGTCTACAGTGTACATATTTAATTTTACGTGCTAGAATCAAGAAACTCATAATCGCTCGTATCTCCTCGATAAGTTTCTTTCTTATCAACAATTTTCCAAGAAATTTCGTGCTAAAAGTCGCAGAATAAAAGTTGCGCTCTCGCGTGGAGTAGAAGTACACCGGGTGCGCACAATCACCGACGACCAGTTATGCCGCTGCACGTGCATGGCAGTCGCGCGTGTTTGCGTGTGTACCTTGGCTGACGATCGTTTGGCACACAATCGATGGTAGTGGGATAGCAATACTCAGCCGGGGGAGGGGGCGTATAAAGAATCCACGATGTATCGCAGATTCTATTCGGGGACCGGATTGCTTCTGGTCGCTACCGTGCTCGCATACTGACGTTCAGTCACGTAAACTTGACCGCCTCTGTCATTTCATTGCTTCGAGAAGCACGTCTTCGTGAACCGTGCAATATTTTGAGTTTGGATTTCTTTAAAGTTCCATTATTACAAGAAGGAGAAGGACTATTCCAATTGGCAAGATGCCGACGTGCATGTGCGAACCGCAATCTTTGGATCAAGAGAACCATGTATGCCCGCTGAACTCTATTGTTGAGAATAATGAATTCGAGGGAAAACAAGACTATGCAGTTCGGTATGATTGATTTCTTTTTCTCCACTGTTTTTATCACGATTCTTGGCGCATGTACATTCATCCCCGAATGTACGCGAACATCCGTTCCATCTAAAAATTGTTACGAAAATCGCGTAAATAGAGTCTGTAAGCATGAACAAAAAGATATTGGAAATAAGCGCCTATACAAGTGTTAGAAGTACATATTTATTTCGTGTAGCTCGATTCAAAGATAATTATGACATTTCAGAAGGCAAAAATAAATTCTATTCGGTGTCGCTATCGTTATTGTAATTAAAAACAATGACCCTTTCTTTTTAATTAGCACGAACTCGTCACCTTCGTCGCTTGAAATATTTGGAATTTTGGCTTCACTTTCATTATTAATGTAAATTGTTTCGGATTATCTTTTCTCAATATCTTCTTTTACCAATTTTCATGTTTGCTGATATTTGTTGTAACATTTCATTAAATTTCGTCTATTGCGGCACTTTTCAATGTTTTGGCTGATTCGAGAGCTTTAGAAAGATTTATCGACCGTGTAAATATAGATTGCGTAAAAAAAACGCGTAAATAGTGTTATAATTTACCCGCGTAAATTGAGGGACGGGTGAAAAGAAAGAATTCTGACTAGAAGTCGTGAGATTTCAACCTACGGGTAACCTATGACGGAAATTTTGAATGCAGAAACAGGATATGTTTCATTAATACGAATCGACATATTTTTCGAAATAATTTGCTTTTTAGATTTGTAGTTACGGCGGAACCGTGATTATCCTGATTAACTAGAGTGACATGCATGTTCGGATAATAGAACAGCTTCTTAGCGACAGTCTCAGATTTCATCTCTATTGACTTGAATAGCAAGTTGTTTTGCACATGATTTACCTCGGATTAAGCTGATTGCATGTGAAACGTACAATTACGGACGAAATTGAGTGAACAGGTAGTGAAAATGGTTATAAACAAAATTTCGACAAATTTGCACTATTGTTGTAATTCTAAATTTGATTTATTCTGTATTCTTATAGTAGATAAATTATTTAGTGAAAAGTTCAAACTATTATATATATTTACATTTTTATGAACAATCCACATTCAACAAATTAATCAGCTATTATTTGCCGAGGAACAGATATAAGTGAATGCATAATAAACTATATGATAAATAAACTAGATACGCGGTACAATGCTGATACATAAGTTTGTCACTGACGCATCGTGTCGTAGGTACACTTCGGAACAAAAAGATTTAATATTAACGTAATTTGTATTTATTTAATATTACAACCAAGGTTACTAGTGTGATATTACCAGGTGTGACATAACACACGTCCACTTGGAGTACACAATATGGAATGGTATTAAGTCACTAACATACACAGCTTCGTCACTGTCAATAAAATATGCTGTTTTGATCCCCCTTTTTATTGATTTTTTGTGATATTACATCTATGTATAGGAATTTCACATTAATATATCAGACTTTTCTATATTGGTATATGTTAATGAAAATATGCTTTTGCTTCTTTAAAATTTTAGTGACTAAATGTACTTGTATCTCATTTTGATTTCATACCTTTTTATTGTGTATCTACCTGTTACTTTTTTCTAGACTTTTGTAATTGATAGAGAAAGGAAATTTAAATAATAAGGAAAATATAAGAAATGTACTTGTAGCTCATTTTGATTTCACTTTCCTTTTTTATGCTTTTCTATTACTTCCTTTTCCATTACTTGAAGATTATTGTAATTTTTTCTTATCAAACTTCTTCATATGCTAGGCATACGTTTTTTACTTCTTTTATGAAGTCCTTTTAGGGGGATTTCACTTGTTTGTTGTTCACTTGTTTTTCACTTGATGATTCATATGAGTTGATACCTTCAGATCATTTTTGGCATTATAAAGTTAATATAATTCTATAAACGCATAAAATCTAGAATGTAGTTATAAGCCAGGAATAGTTTAATAATGATATTTAGTGGCATTTAAGATTTGGGAACATTAGTGTATTTTGCACGTGGCGATATGAATATACATATGAGAGATTTTCGGCTGAATGTTGTGTGTAACGTTTTATGGTACTGAAAGCAGCCTCCACTCTGACCATGAACTTAATCAAGTTCAACTTGGATGTTTCATTTTTTTAGTACGATCGCTGAAAAACTGTCTACGTCCAGTCCTTGCATGTGCTATGTCTTGTATACAGCATTTTGTTCAGCATATAGTACAACAACGCATTTCAATAGTCGCTGCAAACTTCACGGAGATTTAATAACGCAGGCATTAGATAATTATATGTTTCGAACAGAGTTGTGTGTAAGTAGAATGTTCTACCTTTGTTCTTCGTATTCACTACTACCTCAAATCTAGATCATTAGAAAGTACGTCATTAATGTAAAGCAAGGGGCAATAAGTAACCATTGTATAAGTAACCACAACTGTTATGAAGGAATCTTGTATATCATAAATAATAATAAATAATAAATATTTATTTTATCTGATGTAAACTATGCGCATCGTTCAGCATTTGGTACAGCATTATGTTCAGAATTTGGTACAGCATTTTACATTCAGAAATTGGTTCAGTATTACGTACAAAATTTGATTCAGCTTTTAATGCAACATTTGATACAGCATTACATTTTAACCCTTATGTCACTAACCAAAATTGATGATGTTGTAGGACCTAATAATGTATGCTATCGATATTGTAGGCTCATTTCCATTGTGTTGGCTTTTGCCGCTTGGCCCTAGCCGCGCGCCTTTGCCTTTTTAAAATTCGCATTCCCATTGCATCGGGGCAGGCCAATCGGACAAGAGAGTAGGCAAAGACAAACAAGTTTGAAGTGTTTCGTATCTCTTTAGTGTCATTTGAGAAGGGTTGAAAAGCCAAACGCTATGCCAATTCGTTCTCCATCCGATATTGGTAAATTATCAAAAGAAATCGTGCCAAACGGAACCAAGACATCGGCTCGAGGAACAGCTAGGGTCTCGAATATCCTACACCAGACGTTTTTAAAACATCCAATGACAGTATTTATACAAATTGGAATGGATCAGGTAGTTGTGGGAAAGATATCCATCTGCTAGCGAGCGCCAGAGGTAGCCGCCATAATATCATGTATACTACTAACGAAAATTGTTGTATTTATTACTAATAATAACTGTGATTATTACATATGTTGTTCAAAATGACTATCTCTAACTTGGAGAGAAGCTATCACTTATCATTGACAAGAGAAATGCTGATCGACATTATACATCTGTCATTTCATTACCCACTTGCACTATTCTCAATTTTAATGTTAGAATGTTATTAACAGGTTCTGTTATTGTCTAGAGCTAAAATTTGTTTGTTTTTACGATCCCAAATGCATATCTAAAGTTTACTGGTTTAATCCTGAAACATCCTTTTGAACAACGTCGGCAATTTCAGTTATTGACATAAGGGTTAAAATATGATGCTGTACCAAACGTTTCATCAAATTCTGAATCAAATTCTGTACGTGATACTGAACCAAATGCTGAATTATTTGCATAGCTTATAATAGATGAAATTAATATTATTATTGTTTACGATAAGATGGAAGATTTCCTTCGTAATGGTTGTAAAATAATTAGTGGTTATAAATATTAATATTTTACTAGAAACAAAAAATATTTTGAGGAGGATATATATAAAAGACTAAACGCGGGTATTCAGTTATTAATACAAGGGTTAATAGTCGCTGCAAACTCCACAGTGATTGAAAACGCAGTCGTTAGTTAACTAAATGTTTCGAACAGACTCATGCGTAAGTTGAATGCTCCATCTTTATTCTTCGTATCTGTTCCTTCCTTATCCTCTACTCCTTATCTTACAAGTGTTGTTAAGGAAATTTTATACATTATAATCAAAAACAAACAATAAATATTCATTTCATCAATTATAGGTTATGTAATATAATATCAAATATTAACAGTAAAAAAATACTTACTGATAAAAAGATTTATTCCAGTATTTTTCTTTACAGTTTTTAATATACCATGTTTGCACTACCTCGAATCACTTCTAATTAAAATTCACTTTATAACTAATTAGGTTAGATTGGTCTCTAGCTCGCGTGAAAGTAAATAGCATCCGCCATATTGTTTTATACTTGACAGTTGCGTTGTGGGGGTATTGTATAAATAAACTAATTGATTAAAATATTTCCACACTCAATACTTATAATTTAATTAAGTATTTGCAATTTTTTAATTAAGATATTTTGATATAAAGTTATCAAACTAATAAATAAATTATTTCCGTTACCTATATTCGTTTCCTCCAAAAAGATTTATTATAAATTGAATACTCGTTGGTAGGTAATAATAATTGAATTAATATTTACAAGGTAGCTTTAACATAATGACACTTAACTCGATAACTTAATCGATATTAAAAATGTCGATAATATAGAAAGTGTCAATTATCTACATCTGCCACATTACCGCCATTTAAAATCATTTAAATATTGAATCTTATTTTGTTTTCTTCTTTGGGCCCATCTATATTTTCTAATTGGTCTTCTTGTTCCAAATTTTCCAAGTACGCAAGTTTTGATCTCTCGATGCTGACATTGGTAGACACCACATTAATTTTGATGGTGAAAATTCGATCTGATGGTCTGACAATGGACCTTCTTATACTGGTTTCACTTTTAAAAATACATGTGTACATGAACTATATGTACTATGACAACAAATCGCTGTTTTTAATGTTCGATGCCATTTTTTTATTATTCCGTTTGTCGCTAGGTGATATGAAGTTATTTTAATTCTTTTAAATCCAACCATTTAGTTACAGATAATGGTGTACCAAACCTTGAAATCTATGTATTAAAGAATGCCACTGCTATTGTATCTGCAGTAATATCTTTAATTAGTACTGCTTCAGGCCAAGAAGAAAAACGATCAATCATCGTTAAACAATAAAGATATCTATTAATATTAGGAAATGGGCCAATGAAATCTATGTGTATGTGATTAAAGCTTT